ACAATAGCGAAGGCAGGACCAAACCATGACCCCCCACCCCCACTAGGTGATGAAGCCGATCAAAGGAGCCCAAAGGGATTGATCAAATGTGATGGCAGAGGCTGTATCAAGACTAATGTGATTAGATGGTTTTTATATTGGTTAGAATTAAGATTATTTTTATTTTTCCAGTTAATGAGGACCATTTTCTTGGCATGCATAGGGCCGTAAAAACAACGTGGGCTGTGTTTATTTCTGCAGTGACCTCATCCAAGTTGCTCAGCAAGCATACTAAAGGGGAGGCTGGAATGTTACATTTCAGACACTTTGATAAGTCTTCACATATCTCACGTCAAAACTTCCGAACTGGTGGACAGAACCAAAGAGCGTGGATGTAATTGTCCGGTGTATTTGCTAGACAGTGTGAGCAGTTGTTGGAAGGCGTATAGCCCATCTTGAACATCCTATGACCAGTATAGTGCACTCAATGTAATATTTTGTATTGTATTAATTGCAAACTAGGATTTCTGATACATTGAAAGGTTTTTAAGCATATCTGAGACCAAAGGTTTTGGTCTAAGCTGATCGATAAATCTGCTTCCCATTTTGCAATAGGAAGGGATATTGATTCATCTATTTTAGAAAGTGTTCTGCATATTTTAGAAAATAATTTGGGGGGGTTTAGATTAAAAAATTGTACCACACTTGGTGGTGTTTGTAATTCAGCTTCACTCGGATTAAATTTCTTTTTTACTATGGATTTAATTTGTTGATATTCCAAAAATCGTTTCTTGTTAATCCCATATTGTGTAACTAGTCTGTCAAACGAAATAAAGTTTGTTCCTTCCAATATATGTTCCAAGTATTTAATTCCTTTGCAACTCCAATCTGAAAAGTTTATCATATTATTGTTTTGTAATATGTCAGGGTTGTTCCAGATAGGTGTACGTTTGCATGGGATTAATGAAGACTCATTTTTAGAAACTCCCACCATGCTGTCAGAGAAGAGCAGATGTTGATGCTTTTAAAGCATTCATGTCGTTTGATGTTTGAACTGATAAGTGGTAGGTCTGAAATTTCTATTGTCACTTTAACATTGATAGTGTTAAATACCTCATGAATCTCGACTTCTTGGTACATGGTTATCAAAAAGTTACATTCCAAAATATTCTAAAAATATGAATGAAGAGTGATATATTGTTGACTAAGATTACTGCAATGCTGTACTTAGTTATTTATCAGATTTACTAATGACAGAGGGATTTATAATGTCTTCTTGTCTAATAGAAATTTATTTCCAGAGTATCTTACCTTGGTTCATTGTCACTGAAGTCTGGGGGTTTCCCTTTGGACATGTCACTTCTCGTGGAAACAGGTCTTTGGTGCTCATGTGGACTTCAATAAGGATCAGAAAATGTCTTAATTAGACAAAGCTTAAAGAGGCTTTTGTTTACCTATTCAAAAAGCAATTTCAATTTACAACAGAACAGGATGCCCAGCATTAACTATTTGATGTTAAGTGACAGAAATATTTTTAAGTGTTTTGCTGAAAAAGATACTGAACACAGCGTGCTAACCAGCTGTCTCTGTTCCATTAATAGAGACAGCTGATATTAATATCACTGTTCATTTCAAGAAGTAACTGATAGCTGATGTAGTGTCAAGTCTACCCTTGATGTTTTTGTTGTCCAGATACTCCTATGACAGAAAAATAGTCAAAACTGAATGACAATCTTCTCGATAAGCAGCATAATTGGATGTTATGACCAGGCTTCAGCATCATCTGAGGTAAGTTACAGATTCTGTAAATAGTGTGTGAAGAGAGGGAAATGGGCCGTAACACCAAGGCTCCATATTAGGCTTTAAAGAAAGCTTTAGCAATAGCTCTGAAACCTTGTTTCATGTTCTCCACTGTCTTTTCACTGGACAGCAAGTTGGGTAACTCCTGCCGACTACACAGAGAGTCTGCTGTATCTGTGCTTCCACAGACACATGGCTTAGCAGCAAAGATCCACACACCACATTTAAGGTACACCTGCTTTGTGCTGTTGATAACATTATATGATCTGCCAAAAATCAAAACTGTTCTAAACAACTTCGTCATTTAACTGACAACCACATAGTGGTGATGAAGTCTCTCCTTCAGTGCTGTATTTCAGTTATTTACGTACAAAGCTATGCATGACCAGCAATATATTGTTGACTAAGATTACTGCGATGCTGTACTTAGTTATTTATCAGATTTACTAATGACAGAGGGATTTATAATGTTTTCTTACTTGTTTAATAGAAATTTATTTCCAGAGTATCTTACCTTGGTTTATTAACACTGAAGTCTGGGGGTTTGCCTTTGGACATGTCACTTCTCGTGGAAAAATAACTCTCTGAGTCTGGTCTTTGGTGCTCATGTGGACTTAAACAAAGGTTAGAATACCTTAATTAGACAAAGCTTAAAGGTGCATCTGTAACTTTTGTTTACCTATTCAAAAAGCAATTTCAATTATCAACTGAACAGAATGCCCAGCAGTAACCATTTTGATGCTAAGTGACAGAAATATGTTTACGTGTTTTGCTGAAAAAGATACTGAACACAGCGTGCTAACCAGCTGTCTCTGTTCCATTAATATCACTGTTCATTTCAAGAAGTGACTGATAAATGATGTAGTGTCAAGTCTACCCTCGATGTTTTCGTTGTCCAGATACTCTTATGGCAGAAAAATAGTCAAAACTGAATGACAATCTTCTCGATAAGCAACATAATTGGATGTTATGACCAGGCTTCAGCATCATCTGAGGTAAGTTACAGATTCTGTAAATAGTGTGTGAAGAGATGGAAATGGGGCGTAACACCAAGGCTCCATATTAGGCTTTAAGGAAAGCTTTAGCAATAGCTCTGAAACCTTGTTTCATGTTCTCCACTGTCTTTTCACTGGACAGCAAGTTGGGTAACTCCTGCCGACTACACAGAGAGTCTGCTGTATCTGTGCTTCCACAGACACATGTTTAGCAGCAAAGATCCACACACCACATTTAAGGTACACCTGCTTTGTGTTAACAGTAATATTATATGACCTACCAAAAATAAATAATGTTCTACACATTGTCATCATTTAGCTGACAACCATATACTAGTGATAAAGACTCTGCTTTAATGCTGTATTTCGGGTTTTTATGTATTTACAGCAAATGCTACAAGAACTTTGCTCTACTAAATACATTGTCACTTCTGCATTAATGTAACAGATTCCAAAGTTCATATTAAAACTCTTAATGTCACTTTAACATTGATAGTGTTAAATACCTCATGAATCTCGACTTCTTGGTACATGGTTATCAAAAAGTTACATTCCAAAATATTCTAAAAATATGAATGAAGAGTGATATATTGTTGACTAAGATTACTGCAATGCTGTACTTAGTTATTTATCAGATTTACTAATGACAGAGGGATTTATAATATTTTCTTACTTGTCTAATAGAAATTTATTTCCAGAGTATCTTACCTTGGTTCATTATCACTGAAGTCTGGGGGTTTCCCTTTGGACATGTCACTTCTGTGGAAACAGGTCTTTGGTGCTCATGTGGACTTCAATAAGGATCAGAAAATGTCTTAATTAGACAAAGCTTAAAGAGGCTTTTGTTTACCTATTCAAAAAGCAATTTCAATTTACAACAGAACAGGATGCCCAGCATTAACTATTTGATGTTAAGTGACAGAAATATTTTTAAGTGTTTTGCTGAAAAAGATACTGAACACAGCGTGCTAACCAGCTGTCTCTGTCCCATCACTGTTCATTTCAAGAAGTGACTGATAACTGATGTAGTATCCACTCTACCTTCAATGTGTTTCATGTCCAGATACTCCTATAGCAGAAAAATAGTCAAAACTGAATGACAATCTTCTCGATAAGCAACATAATTGGATGTTATGACCAGGCTTCAGCATCATCTGAGGTAAGTTACAGATTCTGTAAATAGTGTGTGAAGAGAGGGAAATGGGGTGTAACACCAAGGCTCCATTTTAGGCTTTAAGGAAAGCTTTAGCTCACTGCAAACCTTTTTAATGTGCAAATGCTATTGGGTGTAAGGAAAGAAGAGTTTAGGCAGCTCGTAGAAGAAGAAGCTGGGTCAGAGTGGTCTGTTGGCGGATATGGCAGAAAGACAACCATACATTCACATTCATAGGCATGGCCAATTCTGAATCACAATCTAACCTAACAAGCTTGCCATTGGACTGTGGAAAAAAACAGGAGTACCTAGAGAAAACCCACAAAGCCACAATAAAACATAGAAATTCAAAAGGAAAACCCAGGAAACCAGAAAGTTCAAACCAGGAACCTTCTCAGGTTTCCCTTGGACATGATCTTTGAGTCTCAAATGGCACATGTTTTACAAAGCTACATAACGATTTTAACGTTTGTTTCACAAGAAAAATCATAACTCAATTTTCAGAGCTTTACCAGTTTCAAACCTATGATTAGCAGATCTGTTACAATAGAGGAAAAAATTACAGCAACAGAGTGACATAAAAATACACACTGCCTCAGCATCTGCACATTAGTTTTCACATTCAAGTTTATAACATCAAGTACATTAATATTTAGCGAAATGTTTAATTGTTTAGTCGGCATAGTAACAGTGAGATCAAAAATTGTAACTCACTTGGCAGTCGATGTGGTCATATGTTGTTCCTCAGACATGTTTGTTTAAAACACAGTTTTCTGCTTTCCGGTGGTCCTGCATTCGTTTTTATCTAATTGTGGAGCTACTTTAAATTAAATTATTTCCAAATCCATGCACAAGTTTATATGAACACAAAAGCTGCCACTCTTTCAATCACACTTGGCTTGAAAGCGGTCTTGATCCATAGTATCCCTTTGGAACAGTCTTCTTTCTAAACAAATTTCAAGCGCTGAATTAAGTCTGGTTTTAACCTGACTTAAAAAATGGTCTTATGACAAAACGAAAAACCAGAATGTCTTCAGTGCATGTGACTTAGACGAATTAAGAAACTGATCAAAGTCCATTACAATACTTCCTGGTTAATTTATAACAGAAACAACTGTAGTGACCTTGACATCCCAACTGCCACAAAATAAAGACTATTATCATTAAGATTTGTCTACAATGTCGTGTTCTAAGTGAACTGAGGACGGATAACTTAAGCAGAAATATCTTAATAACATATTATCATGGAAGGATTTCCATTACATTATATTACATACAGACTCCAGTAGTGCCCAAGCCTGATTGTTCCTCAATGCCACTGACATTTGTAGTTTTCATCCGTAGCTGTTGAATAGATATCAACACCAGCACTGACTCCTGTGTCCAGGTACAACCTCAGAGCCTCTAGCCTAGTACCATTCTCTTAGTCTTATATTCTTCTATTTTCTGTGCCAACTGCTATTTACATTTCAGATATATTGTTATGATTTTAAGCATATTGAGCTCTTTATACTAAAAGAGTATTTTTGTCATACAATTTTCCAAGAATAAGACACAATATAATGGCACCAAAAGAAAAAAAAATCATTGTGTCTATTTAAATTTGAATATTGGGTCAGCATGCAATCCTCATAAAGACTGTGATCCACAGCGTTTTCACAAAGATAATACTCAAACTCATATTACTGAATCCAGCGTTGGTTTTTTTAGACACTGTGTTTTGGAATAAAAGCAAAGTTGAAAAGTAACATAAAACACATACAGATTTCTGTATTAAATAAGTTGTTCTTATTATTGATTATTACTTTTGGTAATTAATTTTCTAATCCCAAATTATTACTCTTCCTTTTCCACTTAATTACCCCAAGTACCATATTATTAGCAGCTATAATAGAAAGTGCTACCCTGATTTCTGTTTACAGCGCTGCTTTCTGTCGTTCTTATGAGTCCTCATGCAGCAAAGTCTGCTTAAAGGCTGGAACAGTATCTAGTTAAAGATTAAGGCATTTATAATGATAAGATATGTGTTTTGGAGATAACGCTACTAAACTATAGTGGTGCATACAGGTTAGTCAGTAAATGGATTGTGCACTTAGTGTGTTTCTCTATTGGGTTATTTAACATCACTCATTCAAAATTAAAGATCCATATGACTCCAAAACTCATATGTGGGCATTTCTATATCTGATGGCGCTCGTGTGTGAACATGTGTGTGAACACGTGTGCATGCATGTCAGGTATTTTGAAACCTTGTGTATATATATTTTAAAATAAAAGCAAAAGGCGTGGAAGGTAAACAATTAACGAGCTTCAATCTTTCAGTCTCACTCTGCCATGCACTGACACTCCTACACACAATGCAAGCACATGAAATGACAGACATGACCCTACAAACCTGTCATGTGCTTAGTAAAACCTCCTGTGTATGGGGGAGGCTTAGTCAGTGTGTGTGAGTCTACTGCCTTTATTACCTTGTACACATGGTCAGCACCTGTTCACTGTTCTCCTCCATGTCTTTTCATTACCCGTGTAGCTCAATGAAAACTCATCACCCTTAAACTCTGACTCACCCATCCCCACTGTTTTGTCTGTCTTCCCATCTCTGCACATTGTTCCCTAATTTGTGCCTGTCAGCCATAAAAAAAGAACTTTATTTTTTATGGAAGTGAAATACAAAGTATTTAATGATAAAAAGTTAATGAATGCTTAAAACATTCTTATCATTTAAGCATATTGTGAGAAAAACTTAATGTGGCTGAGAAGTATTAATAAATTAAATGGTGGTTTCTATTTAAGTAATAATGTTACTTCTATTGTCCATACCCACTCCACCCATGTCTGCTTCTTTCCCATGTGACTCTCATTGGTGCCATGTATAACCGGAATGCAATATAGTTAATAAGAAACAAAAATCATAAAGTTTTACACTGGACAATAATGTAGTGTAATGACAGTTGATTACACTGCAGAGCTTTCGTTGATGATTTACAGGAAGTAAACGCCTCCATATTATAGTGTTTTAATTCTAAATCCAAGTCACCACTCGCAACACTCAGCGTGCTTCTGAAAAGCTTTCATTATCATTAACAGAGTTGAGTTTATGCTCTGATGTCTCATCTTTTGACCAGACAGTTTTCCAGCTGTCACCACATCACCCTGCTTCCCCCTGGAACCGGCGGCACTGAAAAGGGAAACGCGTGATTTCTCGATAGGCGAGTTCCTGCTTAGTGCCAGTGCTTCCTGGTTTTTGATTAATCCTAACACTGCTATTATTGTCACGTTTAAATCTTATTCCACCACAGCAGCAGACAAATTCTGTAATTTAGATATGCCTCATCAAAAAATGTGGTGTACCATACCAGATATTCATTTTATATTAGTTTATAATCATGTCATTAGTTAAAAGGGTTCACATAAATGTCTGAGAAATTTTTTTGTGTAGGTAGGCCTCCAGGGTTTGGTTGACTAGCTTTCAGAATGGCCTTCCCACATCTGAAGTTCAAATCTATTTAAAATTTGTGGACTCACTTTAAAGTCGTGTCTGTTACAGGGAAACAACCAATTTAAAAGACC